TAAGGTGGCAATGTCACACCAGATAATAAATCCCTCCTGTGCTGTTAACATCCTCCATTCTGCTGTTAGAAATATCTACTGCTTAAAAATAGTGGGGCTTTGTTACCCAGAATGAGCCAGCATTTATTTCAAGTGATGTAAGGCTCCTTCTCTGGTAGAATTCAATCAGCATCTCTTCACCTGTGCAGCTTTTTAGGATCAACAGAGCCAGACCCCGTGAGCATGGAGAGGATCCAAGGCACTGGTGTCACGTAGCTCCTGGTGACTGGAAATCAACAAACCCCACATGGCCCTGGAAACGGGAGCACACGAGTTCTGAGATCACTCCTCCAAAGCAGGAACTACCCTCAGTTGCTGGGCAGGGTGTTCCTTAAATTGGGAAATCTGCAGTTCCTCTGTGAATTAAGTGGTTATTACACAGCAGTCCTGGCAGAGTTACTGGTTCCCGAGCGTGCTTGAGGAAATTTTCTCCTTAATTTGGAAATTGGAGGGTTTATACCCTTCCAAGGTAGCTTTTGCTCATGTATTGGAAAGAACCATGACAGGTGAAGGGAACAGCAAAGTCATCTGGAGTGGTGGTTCCTAAAGAGATGGCCTGAAACTGGAGAAATTCCTGAGGAAACTGCTTGATCTGGCAGACTTGTACAGCAGCACAAAGCCCTGGTCAGCCTCTCAGTGTGTTAGAGGGAGTGGGCTTGGTCTTTCCTTGGATTTCCTTGTTGCTGGGTTAAATGGCTGTGGCAAAGGAACTCTCTTAAAATTGCACTGAAGCTGTGGATGTGTGCTGTAAAATCCCTGTGTGTTACCTCTCTATGCAGTGCCTCTTGCAAACAGAACAAAGGAGCACATGAAAATAATTAATTCTCATGGAAACACAGAATTGTTTGGGTTGGAAAAGACCTTTAAGATAACTGAGCCCAACCATGAATTGCTGCTTTTCAGACTGGAGATGCTGCATTCACAGATGAAGGGAAATGGAGCTGGGAGGGCGAGATGGAGGCTCCAGACTCTGTTCCTGCCTTTCACACCTTCTGCTCTTTGTGTTTCTTCTCAGGTGATCATTGAAAGGTACAAGGGGGAGAAGCAGCTTCCAGTTTTGGATAAGACCAAGTTCCTGGTGCCAGATCATGTCAACATGAGCGAGCTCATCAAAATTATCAGGTAGTATTGCTGGGATTCCAATGTGAACTGACCAACCTCAGACTGTGATGCTCTGTTAATTCCCCCCCTGGTGCATTTGGGAGGTCTAAGTAGAAAATTTATCTAAATGAGCACTGGGACAAATCCAGGAGAAGGTGCTTTTCCTTTTGCTATGCTGGAAAAACCCCACTCTGAAGAGAGCTGGGCTGGTAGTCTGCCTCCAGGAGAAATCACATTCCCAGAGCTGTAGGAGGAGTGTGGGGCTGTGAATCCCTGGCTGCCATGGGTCCTTCTGCCTTGGCTATTTTGGGATTCCTCCTCTGCCATGGAGTCCCCCTTGGAATGGCTGCCTCTTCCCACCCACTGGGAAGGGGAGTTTGGGCTCAGAGCCAGAGCTGGGATGTCCTGGCATCCTTTGGGAATTGAGGTTTCCCTCAGTGACAGCACTGAGGCCTGGGAAACCCCAGCTCAGGCCAGAGTGTTTGTGCCCTGGCTGCTTGCTCAGCTTACAGGAAAGGCAGAGGGGAACAGCCCCGAGTGGAAGTTGTGTGGTCAGAAATTCTGCTGCAAGTGCATCTCTGCTGGCTCAGCAGCAGTGTTTGGTTAGGAGGGGTTCTCCAGAAGTGAGCAGCAAACCAGAGCTTGTTTTGTGCTGCTCAGGCTGCAGCAGGAGCTGGTTTGTGGAGGCCATGGGCTGTGGGAGTTGTCCAGGGTGTCCTAACAAGAACTGTCACAGGCAAATCCCAGCTCCTGCAGGAGGCAGAAAGGCAGAGAGGGCTCTGGAGACAGGAACCAGGTTGCTCCAGTCTTCCAGAGTTTCTCAGGAACATGAAAGCCCCTGGGCAAAGAGGTTAACTGCAGGCTGAAGGATTTTCTCACCTTTTTTCTCTGGCTTTACTGTTAATAAATAATTTGGTACTGGCCAGACTTGGGCCTCAGCCAGCTCCAGTGATGCACAGCAAAGCCCATCCTTGCCAAACCTTGGAGAGCTGCTGCCTTCCCTCAGCCTGCTGTCTCTGCAGTGATTAGTGTGGCTTTGGAAGGGTCCCTGTCCAGGGCTGTGGTTGGGAGCTAAATAAATCCTTGTTTCCAGCTGCTGCTGCCCCTCAGCAGCGAGTGGAAGCAGCAGGAAACCCTTCTGATCTATTCTTTCCTTGCTGTGGTGGCAGCTGCACCCTCCTGAGCTGCTGTTCTCACTTGGTTCATCCAGAGGGAAGAGCTGCTCTCTGCAGGAGGCAGTTCAGCAGGAACACCCATTTCCCCTGAGCTGGAATGATCCAAGGGAAATCAGAAATCAGAAATCAGTAATCAGCTGCTTCCTGTGCCAGGCACTTTGTGCAGCCTGTGGCTCCCTGCCCTTCCCACCGTGCTCCTCCTAGCAGGGAGGGAGGAGGAGAGGGAGCAAGATGCTCCAAGGTTAAACCCAGGCTGCTCCAGAGCTGGTGACAAAGTGAGTTTAAAACTTGCCCAGGTTTTGCAAGGAAGCTCTGCCTGTCTTTCCCAATCTTCCTGAGGATCTCTGGGTTTTCATTCCAGTGAGCTGCAAGCCAGAGGTCCCTGGTTATGCCAGGGGTGCTTCTTCCCAGTCCCTCCAGTTCAGTGCCCTTCTGGGGTGCAGCCTTGCCCCTGAGTGAGGGCTCTGCCAGGGGATGCACCTGCCTGGATTTAGCAGAGGAATTCGGTCCAGTTTTGAGGGACAGGGCTGGGTGGGGACATGCAGGGAAAGGTGCCCATGACAGAGGCTGGAATGAGATGAGCTTTATTGAAATCTTTCCACCCCAAACCATCCCTGACTCGCTGCTATGACCTTGCTGCTGGGGACTGTCCATTGCCTGTGACAGTGTTTGCAGGGGTCTGAGGATGAGGAAGAGATGAGGATCTGACTCCATGTTTCAGAAGGCTTGCTTTATTATTTTATGATCTGTATTATATTAAAACTATATTAAAAGAATAGAAGAAAGGATTTCATCAGAAGGCTGGCTAAGAATAGCATAGGAAAGAATGATAGCAAAGATTTGTGGCTCAGAGTCTCTGTCCAAGCCAGCTGACTGTGATTGGCCATTAATTAGAAACAACCAACATGGGCTAATCAAAGATCCACCTGTTGCATTCCACAGCAGCAGATAATCACTGTTTACATTTTGTCCCTGAGGCCTCTCAGCTTCTCAGGAGGAAAAATCCTAAGGAAAGGATTTTCCATGAAAGATGTCTGTGACAGCTGCCATCTGTCCTTTGTCCCCCTTTCCCCTCACCCCTCCCCAGGCGGCGCCTGCAGCTGAACTCCAACCAGGCCTTCTTCCTGCTGGTGAACGGGCACAGCATGGTGAGCGTGTCCACGCCCATCTCCGAGGTGTACGAGAGCGAGAAGGACGAGGATGGATTCCTCTACATGGTCTACGCCTCCCAGGAGACCTTCGGAGCGCCGGCCTGCGCCTAGGACACGCCGCTGGGCCTGGCCCGCGATTCGGGTTGAGCCTTGGCCATCACCCCCACTCCTCCCCACACACCCCCCAGGGAAAGAACCGGATGTCACCTACGCTCTCAGTCCTTAGCATAGTCTTGCTTTAGCAGGTGTCTCATCTCACCTTGCCTTGTTTGTGACTATTAAACAGTACAGACGAGCACCTCCAGCTTTGAAACCTGCCCTAATATTATTCCACACAGGCACATTTACAGGTCTGGACCTGACGAAAGGAGCCCAGTTGTGCATGTGACACTTGCAGAGAAAGGGACACTCGATTTACTTTTAACGAGCAAACAGGCACCAGGGAGGAACTAAAGTGTTTCCCGTGAGTTTGCTGGAAAATCTCCCTACGATTCCTTAAATTTTTTGGTTTTAAATGGGAAGGTTTCTCATGAGAGCAAATGCATTTTAATGTTCCAAAGGGGAGCTTTTTCTTCTGCAGCTCCATCAGACTCGTGTGAGTGCTGCAGGGAGTTAAGGCAAGTGCTCGGGGTGAGCTGGGGAAGGACAACTCTTTGTGTCTCCGGTTTTTGGGCGCCGCACGCTCAGGGGCGGCGCTGCTTTCTGGAATACTCATACCAAACACCACAGCTTTATCGTAGATTTAGGAAGTGTCTAACTGTAAAATGCACACCCAAACAGGTAACACTGAAATAAACTCCAGTCTGTTACGAATTCCCAATCCCTGTGTGTTCATCTGAGCTGGCTTCCAGCGATCCTTAGGATCCTGCCCCTAGCCCGGAGGTGGGCAGTCGGGAGGAGCAGCTCAGGGCCGGGAGCTGCCGAACAAATGATTTGTGGCACGGCTGGAGGCTCCTGTGTCCGGGCAGGGAGCAGGCTGTGCAGAGGGAGCTCTCCCGTGGGATCACCTGTGTTTCTCTGTTGCTGTCAGCGAGGCGTGGCGGGATGCCCGCGGTGTCCGTGTGTCCCGGTGTCAGCGGCTCTGGCGGGGACAGAAGCAATACTACAGCGCCTGGCGTTGTACCTCCTCCACCTCGGACCTCCTCACTCTTTGCATGCATCTCCTTTTTCCCGGGGCCCCCTGCCCGTTTTTTTATTGTCCTTTGTGTTTTTACTCCGACGTGAATTTTTCGATGCAGCTTGTTCTCTGTTTAGTTCTGTTCGTGTAAGAACTCGTTTAACTCATAACTGACAACTGTACTTGTAATTACGACGTGATCGACTGATATTCCTGTACAAATGTTGCTTTTTTAAAATTAATACAGTGCTGATATGGATGGATTACATCCCAACTTAATTCCGGCTCGTGTGGTTATTCCTAGGCATTTTCACAGCAAAATCATTAAAGGAATTAAAAATAATTCTCTGCTACTGCCAAGCTGGAGAAGCCCCCACACAGCTGAATCCCTTTAAAAGGAAAGCCAATAGCAAGGGATTCTGTTTAACTCTTTATTTTCCATACATTAAATTTACTCAGATAAAAACATTCTAAAAATGTACAATTTAACTTTTAACAAAGTATAATAAAACATAAAAATCCCAATACCAGAATACTTGACATTTACAATTCAAAATCAAATTAGCTGAATATTAAATATTTACAAAACTATTTAAAATATTTATAAAGTTACATGCAGAATTTGTAATACTAGAAGTGATCGAAGTAAAAGAAATGGCTCAAATGGAGCAGGAATTTCCTTCATTCCTAATGGAAAGTTATGTCCAAGAGAAGCTGTTAATCTGCACTTGAAAACACACGGGATTTGCTTTCTGCTTCAGTACCAACACAGTTCTTGTGAACATCAGGAAAATTTCAGGGAACAAATGGGTAATTCCAAGGGTTTATTACAAGAGCTGTGGGGCCTCAACCAGCCAAAGTGATTCCTACTCTCACAAACTCCAAGATGTGGATTTTTGTCCAGATTTGCCCATATTCATCCCATTTCCAGGTGTTCCAGCGCTCCCAGGGTGCCTCTGGCACAGCTCTGCTCCCCTGCAGCACTTTGGGAGGAGCTTTGCTGTGCCTGGTGCCCCAGCCTGGCTCATCCCAGGATTTCTCTGGGATTTGGGGACATGGCCAAGGTGCTGGACTCCTCCTTTGGGAAGTCTGGTGCTTAATTTGCCAAGATTTAATGAAAAATTTTCACAAAAAGCTGAGTGTGACAGAGCTGGTTTGGATAAAAACCAGTTCTGATAAACTTTAGTATTGGTTCAAATGTGGTTTCCAATAAAAGTCAGGTGGAACCCTCTGATCAGTATCTCAGTTCCCTCTCTGCACTCCCTGTTAGGGTCGAGCCCAGAATATTTATTAATGCTTAATTTGCAGGGTGAGGAGGAGTTCACTGGAAATTCCATCCTATTTCACTGGAAATTCCATCCTATTTCGAGTTTTTCCATCATCAAATGGAAAATGCAGCTGGAACTGCCCCCCCCCGGGAAAGGCTCCTCACTGATTCTCCTGCCCCTGCAGGGAGATCACTGGGGATTCCCTTCCCTCTTACACTGAAAAATCATTCCCATTCCACCCTGAAATCCATCTGGAGAACTAATTCTTTTTATACTTGCAGGACAAAGATAGGGCTAAATAACATTCTTTGAAATCTCCATCTTTCAATGTACAAAAATAGGGTTTAAGAACTGCTTCCTTCAGGCAGGGCAGCTGGAACTCTACTATTCCCACCCAAGCTGCCTTGCTTTTTAGGGGTAAAAAGATGGATTTGTGCCTTTGAAGAAGAGATTAAGGATAATTTTATGGAATTAAGGTGCTCTGTTCGGACTTACCAACTTTGGTTGTGGTGGGTTCAGAGTGGAGGGTGTTCACTGGCAGCTCTGAAGCCCCAGCTCGCTGGGATTTGGGGCAGGCTCTGAGCTTGCTGCTGGCTCACCACATTTTCCTCTCAGGACACTCGTGTTGCCTCCAGGTCCTTCTGGCTTGGATCCTACTCCAAACCCAGACCCAACCGTTCCAAACGCAGCCACGAGCCACTTGAAGAAACATCAGCCACAACTTGACACAAAGGAAACGATCCCAAAGAAAGGAATGAAACAGTTTGCTGGAAACATCAGCCTGAACTCTACACACAGGAAAGGATCCTAAAGAAAGCTCTGGAGAAAGGAATGAAACAATTTGCTGGACAGACATTCAGTTTTACAGTCCTTTTGATATGATTTTTTTCTGTGAGGAAGACCAGACACAACTGTGCCCAGCCCTGGGCAGTAAAACAAAACACAACTGGTACAGAAATGACTTTTTTTTTGCTGCTGCTGTTTTTTTGCTGTTTCAAGAGGGTTTTTGAACACTCACGTGTGTGTTGAAATACAGTTTCTTTAAATACAATTTTAAAATACTGTTTAAAAAAAGTGAAAAATAATAACAACAACAATAATAATAATAATAACACTAAGTTTGGCTTTCAGCACATGTTCCAGGCCACTGGAGAGACCCTCAAAGCTGCAAATAGTAAACATGGAACTGCACGTTTTCCTTGGGCATGATGCAGTGGGACAGACTGTTCCTGCCATTGTCTCGAGCTCATTAAGGCAAAGTAAATTGCATTGTCAGTTTTCATCCCTTTAGTGTTGTAGGTCTGAAGGTTGTTCATGGGAACACAGGGAACGTCCTCAAACGCAGGCAGAGCCAACAGGGAGCTGGGCTGGGGATACACAAATCAGGGGGTTCTTATTGCATAGCAATAAAAGTATCTTTTGTTTGTTTGTTTGTTTGTTTGTTTGTTCTGCAAATTGAGGTTTTGGATCCCTCCCTGGCCCAGCTGGGTTCTGCCCACCCACATTCCCGAGGCTCTCCTGATGCTCATGATCCCAGCAGGCTGAGGCTGCCCTGGGACAGGCAGGGACACAGGGATGGCCCCGAATGTCCCTTTCCTATGAGCAGGGCCCTGACACAGCCCCAGCTCCTGGGGGCAGCTCCACACCCTCCTGCTCCCACAGCACTTCCCAAGCCAATCCTATGGATTCCTCCTGCCGTCAGGAATTCCTCCGAGTGTAAACAAGGCTTCAGACTTTAAAGGTGTCTCCCAAATTACAGGATGCAAATTTCTCTCTGTCAGACACTTTTACAGAGGAGGCCTCACCCATTTAATGCTGTCATATTCCCAGGGGGGAGAGCCATGAGGATTAGGATCTTCTTTCAACCAGACAGGACCAAAGTGTTTCAAATTAGCAGTTCGAGATGGGTTCGGCTTCCTCTCGAGTCCTAATTTAGATTTGTCACCCACAAATGATGGACTAAGTAGTTAACACCAAAGCTACTCATCTACAACCTACTGCAACGAAGGAGGCCGACAAGAAATCCTTCCAAGTCTTGATAATAATGAAGTTTTTACTACCTTTTACATGTTTGACTCCCACCACTCCTGAATCCTGGGGTAGGAGCCAAAGGGTATTTTATATAAAGTAAAGCAAAAGCTTATCAACTCTGCTGCCAGAGTTCTTAGTTTGATTTTTTTTTTTTTTAGGATGGTTTAAAATTCATTTACAAAAGCAGAATAATAAGGTTTCTGTGAAAGAGACCTATATACAGTAACAGGACGTAAAGGTTTTGTGTATTACAGGAAAATATCCTTGAAGCTTTTATGACTCTGGAGTCTCTGGGACTTGGACCCTTGGAAACTAAGTTTATTCCAGTGCTGGGAAGCCAGCACTAGCTAGTAATAGGTGAGACAATGAAGCACGAGTTTGTTTCCAGAAGGAACCGAAACTGCCGTGTGTGTTCTTTTGGAAGGGAAAAAAGAGACTTTTTAGGATTTTTATTGTGGAATTAAGTCCCGTAAGCCTGCTGGTGCCAATTTGTAAAGGTTGGAACTTCTTTGCCTCTTGCACTGGTCTCAGAGTGACACTGTCTGCTAAAAGTGCAGAAAGCTTGAAGAGTTTTACATTCTTCTGTAGTGCAATCCTTAAAAATCCCAGAGATTAGTGCCTGATCACTTTTGAAAAAAAGTAGACATTTTACCTAGCCCAGGGGTGCCAAAGTCCTTCTGGCCACTCCTACCTTCCACCTCAGAACAGAGCTGCCCTGGAGTCAGGCCTTTCACCTTGGAAAAGTCCAATTGTGGCAACATTCTCCAGCCAAAAAAGTACAGGGGATGTTGTACTTCCAGCAGGAACTGCAGCTGGCCAGCTCCACCATCCATCCATCCATCCATCCATCCATCGCTCCGAGGACACCGAGTCAGGAGTTCCAACAACAAAGCTTGAATTTGGCAATCAAAACTGGCTTGGCTGCACCCCTAAGCTAGATTTTCTACCTAGTCTAATAAAGTAAAGCACCTTTGGATTAAAAAATACATTAAGCTTAACAGCAACTGGACGTCTCAGTTTGGCAGTTCGATCTCCGTCGCTCTCCATGGCTTTGCAGCACGGCGGTGCCAGCTGGGCAAGCTCAGTCTGTGGAGTCCAGGCTTTCCGAGGGAGGGGCGTACTTCAGCCTGAACGTACCTGGGACAGGGACAGGGACACAGGGTTACACATCAGGCCCTCCCACGGCCTCCCAAACCAACCTGCTGCCTCCCAGCCGTGCAATGAATCGCTGGAGCTTGGGTGCAATTGTAGGGCTGGCACAGTTTTGTTTCATGGAATCACAGGATCCCACAATGGTTTGGGTGGGAAAGGAGCTTAAAGCCCATCCAGTTCCAACCCTGACACCTTCCACTAGCCCAGGGTGCTCCCCCAGTGTCCAGCCTGGCTTTGGACACTTGCAGGGAACCAGGGGCAGCCACAGCTTCCCTGGGCACCTGTGCCAGGGCCTCACCACCCTGACAGGAGGGTTTGAACAGCAATTCCTCATTTAGGTTATTGTGTCGGGAGGAAGGGAAGAGGATCAGAGATTTCAGTTTCTAAAATTCCAGGGGAACTTGCAATAATGACCAAAGCTGACCTGGCTGACAATGCAGAGGCAGCAACAGTGGTTCTGCTGCAACCTGTCCACAGCAGCTCCCTCCCTTCCTTGAGGTTTCTTCCTCCCTAAAAACCAGTGCCAACCCCACAGAGCACACCTGAGAGCCTCATCTGAGTCCTCCTCATGGGGCTGCCTAAAATCTGCCAATAGCTCAGACCACCACCTTTTAATAACACAATATTTTTACAAGCCAGAGACTCCAAGACACCGTCAGACCCCAGGGGCAGGTCTCAAGGCCACACTCTGGATTGGATCCTACTCCAAACCCAGAGACAAGCATTCCAAAGGCTCATCCAAACGCAGCCATGAACCACTTGAAGAAACATCAGCCGTAACTTGACACAAAGGAAACAACCCCAAAGAAAGGAATGTAAGGCTGGAAACATCAGCCTGAACTCTACAGCCAGGAAAGGAGCCCGTGTGTCCCCCCAGCCTTTACCTTGCCGATTGAAATCCATGGGTGGCTGTTTGCAGTCCTGAGCTCTGTGCCCGCTGGCCCCGCAGTTGTAACAGGAGAGGTTCCCGTTTTTTTTGTGGCTCGACCCATTGCCATTGCCC